ATCATCTGACTCCAAGGTTACTTTCCCAGTCTCATGACCCTTTGCTCTAATTACTCTGCTTTGACAGCAAACTGAAAGAGACTTTCTCTCCATTTTGCAAACACTTTGAAGTCTTCCTTGGCTAGGGCCTTGGCACGTACAAATCTGTCTACCTGCAACACCCCCACCTCCTCACTCCCACTTCCCCTCGGTTCTCTGTGTGGCTGTTTCCTGCTGTCCTCCAGGTCTCAAACTCAATGCCCCCTCTGCCTAGAGTTGTTCCCTGACTATCCTATCTAAAGCTCATGTTTCTCTCCCGTTATTTATGTTCCCGGCTCCTTTTTTCTTTTATCACAATTTATGATTATTTGTTCACTTTTGTTTTGTCTGTTTCCCCTAGAATAATGCGAGGTCTGAAATCATCCTCAGTATCTAGTACTGTATCTGAAACACAGTAAACACACAACAGATATTTGCTTATTGAATGAATGAGTGAATGAATGAATGAAAGCAGTCGTTACCAGTGGTGTGGGTGTAAGAGTGGGTGCGAATGGTCTTATCTCTGCAGTAACAAGGGTTACGTGAGAATTTGCTTGGATACTTAGCCTGAATGACAGCAGGGCTGGGTGTGGGGAAAGAGTGGCCTGCTGATGCATAGCTGCTGAAAATTGTCTTACATGCCAGATGGCTCAGGCCATTAGCAATTCAGGTTCTGGATAAACATTCTGGACACCAGCAGGGTGCTTTCTCCAAGATGTAATTACTAGCTTGTGTCAATGGCATTGCTCAAGTGTGGGTTATATTGGCATGTTCCAATGGCTTCAAAACATTAGCAGTGGTAACAGCAAATGGGGAATTCTACATAGTGGAGCAAGAGTCTAGTTTTTGAGCTTTCTAGAAAGAGAGTGTGAAATAATACTTTGGCTGTTTTTTCCAAGTTTATTGTTTTGTTTGCCTTGAGTAGTGCTAGCACTGACACAGGGAGCTTCTAGGTGACATGCGGTAGGAGTAATCTATGATGATGATAATAATAATAATAATAACAGCTTGCTTACTGCTTTACATTTATAAAACATTTCCATTTTCTCTATTTCCCTAGTTCTCCCATAACCCTTAAACGTTGTACAGTGATCTCCATTTTATAGACATGGAAACTCAGAGAGATCGATTATAAGCTTTGCTAGGTGGTAAGTGAAGGGAAAGGACTTGACTTTCTGGGAGGCTTCTTTGGCTTATAATTCTAGGGTCCTTTTCAACGTATACAGTGCTTTTAGGCCTGAAATGAAAAAGGGAGAAGAGGACATGTGGCAGTGGTGAGGTGAATGGCAGAGCTAAGAGGGTGAGAAACCTCGAGAGCTTTGCAACCTGGCCATCTTGAGGAGCATCCAGAACAGGGGACAGTCGAGAATTCATGCACATGGGAGGGTGTGTGTGGAACACAGAAGCAGAGAGAGAAGGCCGTTTCGATTGGGCGGCCAGTGTCTAGCATTCTTTTAATTAAATGTACAAGCTTCACAAGTCTTTTAGCACCAGCTGGTGGGATCTGCTGAACTTACACTGCCTCCTTCTATCTCTAAACTTTGCTGCCGCGTTAGCCTGGTGACCACAAGTTTGGAATCTATCAAAGTTTAATCCATTTTCTGCATTCTAGTACAGTGGCTGGCTGTTTTTTGTGAACTTGGTGTGCCCCTAGTTGAGAACAACTGATGTCTATTCTGTACCCATAGAATTCTCAGTGGCAAAAGTAAGACAGGCTACAGATTATAAGCAATGGACTACAAACTAGCTCTATCTCCATCACTTTTTCTACCACCAGAGGAAGCGCGTGAGAACGCAAATCCGTGAGAATAAGGTAATTTTAGGCCAGATTTGCAAACTGCTGTCTCATAGACAGAATAGAGTCTTTAGCCATATCTTTTAACAAAAGTTCAATGGGGTATAAATATATAAAATTTGGCGATTTCATATAAATATCTGAGTTTTTCTGGATCCCCCCCACCCTCAATCCCCGTCCCCCCCCAAATTGTAAATTGGTCCAGACTGGCTGTCTAATGCTGCATGGTAGCAATAGGCTGGGACCAAATGCTGGCTGCCAGAACCCTGCAGTATGCCAGGTGTCTCCCCTGATCACTGTGTGTTTAGGCATCAACAGGTGACCCTGGGTAAAACTAACTTGTGTTACCCGGCCAGCTCCTGTAGGCGTATATGCCTTTCTGGCTCTGTTTGAGAACTACCCTTGAGCCAACTATAATTCCTCTAAAAATGTATTTGCAGACTTGATGAATAGTAAGGAATCGCTTCCACTCTGCTCCATGACATACAGCCACATAGCCAGGTGCCACGGCCTAGTGGTTGAGAACCACTGTCTTAAGGAATGTCTGGCCTCAGGTTTTCCTGATGGAGTCTGCTTTTGGGTTTCAGCCTATCTAAGCAGATGAGATAAGCTGGATAAACATTGCCTCGTCTGTAAATATCATCAGTTACGGTTCGGGTCCTGGCTTTCATGTTTGGTGATCAGTTAGTATTATTTTAATAATGTAACTAGCTACCAAAATAAATAAATGAGGGCTTAACATTTTTTGAAAATGAAACAAACTACCTAAATAAATAAAATGAGAGCCTCTTGTGGACCAATGATGTGAGCACACTGCAACATGCACTGATATGCTCCAGGGATCTTTTACAGGGAAATAAAAATTATGGCCTATTCCACACAAAATTTTAAAATCTTTAACAGCAGGGGATTTTTTGAGGGAGGGTGGGTGTACAATTAATGACTTCCTATTTAATTTACTTTGAAATGTGAACATGATTCTATTTTGTCCTTTTTGTACTGTGCCCATGGGTGCTAGGAAATCAGATTTTATCACTGCTGCCACTAGTCCTGAGTCCTCATCTTCTTTAGTATACTTTTTTTTGCTGAGGAAGATTTGCCCTGAGCTAACATCTGTTGCCGGTCTTCCTCTATTTCATATGTGGGTTGCTGCCACAGCATGGCTGCTGACAAGTGGTGTAGGTCCTCGCCCAGGAACCAAACCTGGGCTGTTGAACTTAACCACTAGGCCATGGGACCAGCCCCCTTTAGTACACTTTTCATCTAATTTTCTTATATTTATAATCTAGATGGAGGTGGCTTGAGCCCTAGAATCTGTTAGACACTAAATCTTTTATTCAGAAGGTAGCTCACAAAAAGAGATATGACACACTTCTTTGTCAAGCAAACCCTAATAGTCTTGAAATGGGACTGTCAAGCTTAATTAAAAGAGAAACTCGTATTATGACATGATATTTAACCTTCTAGGAAGGAGTGCATATCTCATGCTGGTCAGGAATGTGTGGATCTCCTCATATAAACAATTTTTATATCCCCCATAACTTATGATAGCAGTGACAATGGCAAGGTGGCATAATATACAGCACTATAAAATCACTATATTGCTTTGTGAAAGTTACACTGGATTTGATCAGAAAAAGACTTTGAATTGTGTGTGGGTGAAAACCTTCTTCATCATGCTATAATGGAAAAAAGCCAAGTAGTAAAACTTCTCAACGTTTGCCAAGTCCATTAATAGATAAATTTAATTACACACAAAAAATCAACAAATAAGCTTTGCTTTACTCAAAAATCTTTGTCTTATGAAATAAGCCATATTTCCCTTTTTATCAAAAGAAGGGCTCGGATGAACCCTTTGTATTTGCTCTAACTATATTTTAACATTTTCATCATACTTGATGCACAAGCTCAAAATCAATATTAGTCATACCCCACTGAGCTCTATATTACCAGAAATATGTGATATAAGTTTTTAAACCATAACTGTTCAGATTCAATAGGCAGATGGTAGCTACTGAATTCCCCAAACTGGTGCAAGTTAAATTTAAACACAAGTTGATGGTTCACACATTTGTGTGAGGGACTTGGATAAATCCAAACTGAATTTGACGACATTTACAAATATTTGCACTGTTTCACTGGATGGTTGCCAGATTCTGATGTGGTCTTTTTTCCCCTTCTCTCTTCTTCCAGATCTCTCCAAGGGAGGCTATGGCATTAAGCAACCAACAGGAAATAAACTCGCAGACTTGGACCTCTATATCACCTCCTCCATCAACTTACAGGCTCTGATTACAGAATAGGAAAAGCTGTAAGCTCCATATATTGTGAATTATAAGAAGGGTCGGTACGCATGAGGCCACAGAAAAGAGAATGTCCTTTTTTCTTCTCATTGGATTTTCATTCAGGATCAATACTTTTAAAAGAGCGTTCCAGAAAACACTAATCTTATAGACAAGGCCAGAGGGCTAGGAAATTTTGGGCAACATTGATGCTTACAGAGGTTTTTTTTAAATGGAAACAATCACATTTTAGTTAATCTTATTTAAGAATGTTAGGAGATTTTATGTAAAAATCCAAATTTCTGGTACTATTGAAAAATTGAAAATATGAAAATGTAATGAATATATCCTCACACAGAAATCATTTCTTGTAGCTTCCCATTAGGCGGGGAACATGCTCTCCGCTAGTCAAGGAACCACTCAATATGCCTGGATTCTGGAAGCGTTTTACTTGGCTTCCCCTGTTCTAGTCTTTGTTGAAGACATAGTGTCATTTGGTGTATTGAAGCCTCTGAAAATTCCCTCAGTAAATATTTCTATTTTATTTCGTTTGTAACTTTTTCCCAAGTACATTTGATTATGGAAGTTTTTTCCTCCACATTTTGAGATGTACTGTTCTAGATAATTCTTTGGGTTTATGATTTCAGCTTTTACTCCAAAGTTTATGGATGAAAGTCATTTTCTAATATATTACTTGGTACATGGATATGGACCATAAATTCAAGAAATTTTGATTTTCTGGTATGAATTTTATGCTACTTTCTGGCAAATATTTGTGAAAGTATTTGGGAAGCCTAGATTTTGCAATGCGGATTCCATTTCCATTTCTAGATGCTTTTATAGGCATTCAAGATGCAGAATCAATCTATCTGGTTACAATGTTGAGATAGGTATATTGGTAGAGATGAAAGCTATATTGGTAGAGATGAAAGAGCCTCTGGATTTTACCTAAGGTTTAATTTAACTTAAAGAATTCATACTAAAGGACCCACTGTGCTGCTGACCTGATAATAGGCCCTAACAACATGTACTCCAGAGAAATGGTTTTGGAGAAAAAACAGATACACTTACAGTACGGTAGGGTAAGTGACAGGAATGTGTCGTACTAGTATGATATACCAGGTAAACCAGAACTTAAGTAGATATTTCCTTCTTATCAGCCTCAGCTGAATAATTCTCAAAAAAAGAAGATGAACAAAAATTTCTTTTTTGGGAGGTGAGCCCCATATGTGACCACTACAGAAGCCCAATAACGGGATTTGACATTTCATCTCACTGACTGTGGACACTGCAGTTATAGTAATGAATTTCTGGTTTTGAAAATATTAGGCTTGGGAATACTGGCTGTGATGGCAGCAAAGACCTTGTGGAAAAAATTCTGCCTGACTACGACTCTTTAAGAAGGGTGTTCTCTGAATTTGGCTAAAGCTGATTCAGGAAAAATAAATGACAAATAAAGAGGACAAGTAGGTTTAGAAAGAACTTATTTACCACTTTAATAGGGCTGTCCAACATTTGGTCACATAGATCATTCTGAAACCTAATTGCTTTAATGGTCTTCCTATCTCTCCAGAAGAGATCTAAATACTCTTAGAAAAAGCAAATCAAACATAGAAAGGGTGCCATGATAAGACTTGCTACAGCACTATGTACTTAATGATGCCAGACTTTGGATTTACTCAGAGGACATTTCTGTAGTCTAGGACAGCTATACAAAGCCTTAAGACATTGTATTTACAGAACTTATTAATACAGGGATCCATATTCTACTATAACTCTGCCAGAGTCTTAATAGCATGGTGGAGCAGCTCCCTCAAGAATCTTCGTTTTCTTATCTGTGGAAAAACTAGTAGTTCTAAAAATATTTTCCTGGAAGAGGTTAGAACGGTTATTATATATCAATTGAATATAAAGTATGGTTATGTAAGCCAAGCTTGCATGCTAATATTGCACAGGGTAGAAAGCAATAAACAGGACGATGTGCTTCCTGGAGCCCTCCAGTAGAAACAGAAGAAAGCTCTTGATTCAATATTGTTAGGATGCCTCAGATTCCAGGAGTCCACCTGTAGCTGGCCTTCCAGTGTGACTGCCATGTCGAACTCTCAAAAGGGCACGTCTTCCTTGCCGATAGAAAAAGAAACGACAACAAAACAAAACACCCAAAACTCAAAGAGGTACACCAGCCGCCTCAAACTGTGGTATTGTTCACTTCTTGAAGAGAATATATAATATTTCAAAATATTATATATATATATACATATATTTCAAATGGTACAAAGTAACTATAGATCCAAATTAGAAGATAGTTGATTTGTCTTCGTAATCCCCAAAATTTTCACTGAGAAAACCCTTTTTTAAAATCCACTTTCCATGGTGTTGCCGAAAACTCTGAGTCTTCTCACTGTAGGATACTTCGTGACACGCAGCAAAAGTACTGTGATTATCTGGTAACCAGTCAAAGTGCAAATAAGAAATCCATTTGGCTTGTAATGTGTTAGATGTTTTAAATTCTTAAAATGTATTTTCTGCAGAGTTGGTTTTCCTTTACTACTACAACAAATGCTTCCGTTAGGTTCTTGGGTGAATCTGAAACCAAAGAAAGAAAGAAATTTCAGGAAGAAAAGTACAAAATGAAGGCACATAGAAAAGTGATTAGGCAGAAAATGAGGACAGCTTGAACTTTTAGGCTGCTGCTTCTTTCAAGTGATCTGAAGTAAAAAATGTTAAAGTCTAGAGAGCTGGTTCTCAAGTGGTGATCAAAGCACACTGACAGACCACCATATTTTTATCAATTCATTAAATTAATTTTGCCACAACTAGGAGATAGACTCTTGGAGCAAGATCTAACCAGAACTGGCTTTACAGGCACGTGACCTACGCAGTTGCACAGAGTGCTGTGGTGAAAAGGGCCCTGCATTTCGTTTAATAACCTGCTCTGGCCATTGAAATTATTGGTAATTTTTGAACACAAGACCCCATATTTTCATTTGGCACTGGGCCTTGCAAATTCTGTAGTCAGTCCTGTGCCTGTCTGATGAGAATTTGAACCGAGTAAGTTATTCCATGGCCTTGTCAAGTTGGCCTGTTGTAAGATGTAAATGGGTGTCATAAAGTGAAGTCATTGCCAAGGTTAGACCAGTTTGTTTAGGAACAAAAGGACCTTTGCAAGATGAGGAAGTGTTCCACTCAAACAATTACATAGTGTTCAAGGGCAATCAAGAGCATCCTCCTATAACTATTGATGCCATTTAAGCCATTTGAATATGGTCCCAAAGACTCTAATATTCAAAAGGATGTGTGCACAGAGAATCACTGGTTTAGAGCATAAATGACGATTCTGAGTTGAAGGTTCTACTTTAGAATTCCAGGACATAAGGGATTTTTCTTCATCATCTCAATTCTTTACGGTCTTAGAAATTGAGTGTTCTGAGTCCAGAAGTGGAGTCCATTTAAAACTTTCAGGGTTAGGTAGGAACAGTAATAAAAGTTTGCATTCAAAAGTTGCCTGGGCCTGGGGCAGAATGTATGAGAAATCTTCACATTTTCATTTTTTTTATTCTCTCCATATAAATAATAGATCCCTCCAAACCTTGATTTCCTATATTTCAGTGGTATTTAGCACCTTCTTTTTTCACTGTCTTCTTTTTCAGCAAAAGGAAGGAGAGAGAGACATTTATAAAACTGACCTGGAATTGCCTTTCTTTTATCTCTAGTGACTCTACCTGCCACCCCGACTCCCACTACCTAACCTTAGGTGCTACCCTCCATGGAAGCCCAGGTGCTCTGTCATGTCCACCAGCACATGTCTGAGACCTTAATACACTAACTTTAGATAGTAGAGACTTAAATATATTTATTAGCTAAAGAAATGAATAATTTCACTTGGACCCAGGGAAAACTGTGATAACGTAAGTCGGTTTATTCTTCCTTCCTGCAATCTCCAAATCTCTTTCTCTCTCTCTCTTTTAAAGGCATTTCATGCAAAATGGAGTGGAGATCAGGATTGTCAGGGTTCTCAAAACACTTTAGACCTGCATAATTTTGAGTGAAGCTGCTGGTACTTTACCTTTCGGTAATATAAAAACATCAGCAGTGATTAGAATGGGTGGAGACACGCAAAGTCAAGAGTCGCCATTAGGGCGACGAGGACAAGGAGGGTGTGGACAAATAATTCTGATGGATTTGTGTTGGGCCAGTCACATAAAACACTGATTTGATCAGATGGGTATTGTGGTTAGGTGTACAATCTGAGGTCTGCTAACTTGCCTGTTTAGGAGTGAAACGTCTCTACGTTGGGCACTAACTGTTGATTTTCTCACTAGTCTGAAAGACATGAACATATGGGGTTCCAGGAGATCCAAAGGTGCTTGATACTTCCCCAGGTATTATCCCCGTTATGTTCTGCTATTTTAATCTGCTAATTTTTCTTTCCATGTGACTTTTATTTTCTCTTCATTTCATTCCCTTCCTTTTCCCTCCCCCAAACAAACCAATGTTCGCTTTTCACATGTGAATTATTACAGCATTGTCAAACAGGTTATTTCCTCTTTGGGGAGGTCTGTCTTTCTAAATTAAGCCATTGTTCCTGAAAACACAGGGTACAGATTTGTTCCTGAAAGCATGAGATATAGCCTCTCTAACTTTCAAACTTGTGCTTTTGATATATAAATTTAAAGAAAAGAAATAAACTAATGCGTATCTAAAACCATAGGAAAAAATCTCTAATCAATATTTAGATTGATTAGTCTTGCTACAAACTACCAACAAGGCAATTTAATAAAACAATTGAAGCAATGGTCAAGCATGGACAGGGTTAAAATTTAGCCATAAAACGTCACCCAGATGTGCCAAGCTTCTCCCCAGAAGGGTGTCTGTCATCCTCCAGGTACTCCAGGCTAGGTTTTGGAAAACCTTTCAAGAGTGACTACTTCCTCTCCACAGGGTAGAATTCATTCAGGAAGCTTCTTCTTTGCCTAAGATTTATTGTTCCAAATCTCCTGAAAGTAAAGCCTTTGCCTAATTCTACCAATCTTTCTTTTTTCTGTGTGTGTGTGGTGAGAAAGATTGGCCCTGAGCTAACATCTGTGCCAATCTTCCTTTAGTTTTTGTATGTGGGTTACTGCCACAGCATGGCTTGACGAGTGGTGTAGGTCCATGCCTAGGATCCAGGCCCACAAACCCTAGGCCACCGAAGCAAAGCATGCCAAACTTAACTACTAGGCCACTGGGCCGACCCCTAATTTTATCTATCTTTTCTCCTTCCTTCTGCGGGTTTTATTGTCACCCAGATCCAATTTCCCCAAGGTTTTCCTTTCAATTGTAGCCTGCTACCCTGGCTAGTCCACATTCTGGGGTGTTTGGTTATTTAACTGAAAGAGTGAGTTTCTACTCTCCATCCTCCTTAAAAATGAACATCATAAAAAATTAAATTAGATCACATTTTGAAGCATCTTTTGCTTATCTACGTTTCAAGACCACTGAGAATTTTGTTTGGGGATGATTATTTGCGAAGTAACCCACCTCATCGGAAGGTTTTGAAAAAGAATGATGTCCCAGGAATCTTTCTTACAAATATCTTTATGTTGGAGTTACTTTAAAAAATAACTCTAGGAGGAAACTTTCAGTTGCCATTAACAATTTGGGTATGTTTCTTCAGTTTCTTTTTTTTTTTTCCTGAGAGCAGCCTCCTCGAATAAATCTTACACGTAAGAACAAAAGAGATGATTTTCTATACTTTTCCTTTTCCTTTGATAAGAAGTTGAAGAATTTTTTGCCCTAAAAATTGCCTCTTAGATAAGAACAGAATAGTAAAAACATATGATTCATAATTGAAGTACATGTGTGAATTAAACTCTTTTAAAAGTTAAATTGCTAAAGTCAATATTTGAGGTGTATAGGCATATTTATACTCTGATGGGGAAAAAGACACAGGGCATACTAGAAAAACCAATATAAAATCTACTTTCAGGGCACATGATCTAAGGACTTGTATTGGCACGCCATTTATACAGAATGAAAAGCTCCTGTGTATATTATCTGGACTTAATTGGTGCCTTTTGTATTTAAAAGTGCTTATTTCATTGTAAATTTCTTGTTATGGAAGGGGGAAGAAAATGTAAGTCAGCAGTGGTGTCTGAGCCATCTCAAGGTTTAAAAGGATAGCTTTTTCTAGTGTCTTCTTTTTCCTTCTCTAAAGACAGACTTGAGAATTCTTAGATGACTGATGCGCCGCTCACATGGCGGTAGAGCAGTCTCTTATTTCCTTGCTTGAAATGGATGCACACATCAGAACAGGTACATCCTCTGCTTTCAAACCAAGTACAAGGGCAATTTATTTCTCTTGTACACTCAACTGTCTGGGTTGCATTCAGCCCACCCAGGGCAGTGGCAAACACAGTGTGCTCCAGCCTCTATTACCATGATCAGATTCCGCACCGTACTTCTGTGATGCCAGAAAATGTCTAGGATGTGTTTACAACATGCCTGATGGTTTTAAAACATACTGTACAGAGGCCAAATAAAAGAGTTACATAGGTCACAAAAAAGTAGCCTTAGCAATTTCTGTGTGTTTTTTGTTTGTTTGTTTATATTCTATCATCCAGAGTCTCCTTGTTGGTACACATATTTAAATCCTGAAATAATTTCACTTGCATTATTGTTCTCTACTGAGTTTCAGGTCAGGAGGCAACAGGAGAGCAAGGCTAACCTTTAATAAAGGGTAATTAGTTATCTTTTGGAATAGGGATGGAGATTTGGCAGAAAATATATCAGCAACATGTTTAAAACAACAGTGATTGGATTCCAATCATAATAGCCAGAATGCAGAGTAGCTTAAAACTAACTTAGGACGGCATCTTCAGATTATTTGGTAAAATCATTTGCAGGCAAAACGTAACCAAAAGAGAAACATGAAATCTACACTCCACCAGCTAATTAAGATGGTTTCTGGGGGTAAGTGGCATGAATGAGGCTCATTTTTGAAAACTCTCTTCTGTAGGCAGTTCATTGAAGTGAAATATGGTGATCCACGCTGAACTTCTCAGGTGCATGCAAATGCATGTTGACAAGCTAGGATGGTCCAGGAATCCCTCCTGGCTGCAAGCCAAGGAGGAGGTATGGCCATTTACTGGTTAACGTGGTCAATAGAGGCAACTATATTTGACACACAAAGAGTCTCCCTTATTTTACGTATAAAAAAATGTTTTATAGGGTCTTATGTTTTCTGCATCATAAACCTTCAAGAACCAATTTTATTTTTTGAAAAGATAATGCTGAGAAGAAAGATCAAATTAAGACTCGTAACACAGGGGTTGAAATCAGAGGATACCCTTTTAAATTTGAGTCATGCTTTTGGAAGACCACAAATTCAACATATTGGGATTTGTAACTGGTGGAGCTTGCTTTAAAAAATACCCCATGCATTAAAATACATACACACATAACAGGACTGATATTCACATGGCACATATGACCACACTGTTTTTAAACTATTGACATCCTTTTGTACTAGTGAATAAACAGTGTCTTAAGTGCCCTGAGCAAACCTCCCTCCCCACCCCCATAGGACTCCCAGACTTCCTATGGTCCAGTATCTATAAGGTCAATGGCTGACCGAGCTGGGCCTCTATCACCTGCTCCAACATCATGACACCAGTTCTGATGGGTTGGGTAGCCTCACCATAAAACGTGGTTATATATTTTGAAGACAACTCCTGATTTAACCACAGAAATCAAGGAAGGATTATTCACATCACAAAAACCTTTCACTTCCCTAAGAGATAATCAAAGAATTCCTTTAAAGAACCTTTAGAAAATGGCTATACTTAAATGCAGACCTTTTCAGCAAACTACCTGGACGAATTAGATAACACCCTTATTTTATTATCTATTCTGAGTACCATAGAAGTTGGATGAATTATCTGAATAATTACCTCACTGCTCCTCTTCCCTTTGGCAACCTAGCTTTGCTTATGAGTCAGTAACAGAAACACTAAACTTCTCAGCATGGAAAAGTCAAGTTCAATCTCTAACTTCTTGTTGATAGATGGACTCTGATCTGAATGGTTAAGAATGGCTTCTGTCAGGGGAAAGGCCTCCTTCTTTCCTGTTCAGAGCTTCTCTGGGTGCTGTTTGTACAACACAAAGGCAAATAGTAGTTTGTAACATGCACGAGACATTTGAAATAGATGAAATAGAACTTACTCTTGTGGTCTTAATTTTATTGCCTGTCGCGCACATCCATCCGGAATTATCAGGGAGTGTCTTACATTCTTCTCCCTCTAGACAGGGCTCCATCTCACACCACCATTTCCCAATCACTATGGAGGCTGTACAAAAACAGGAAACAAGTGTGTTTGTAATTTGTCCAAGCAACCTGGGCCCTGGTGCTGTGTCCCTCTGCAGATATTAATGTTCTTCGAAGCACACTAGGTCCTCTCTAACCTTCCATGGCTGCCTAGGAACACTCTATTACGAAGAATAAGATTTTAGTTTATAAATCTTACAATGCAGATATAATTATGATGTCTGGTTTCATCAAGCCACATTTCGTCCAAAATTTCCTTGCACGATGAAAACATATGGAATGAGGAGACTTACTTTTTGGAGGAAACTTGTGTGTTGCTACTTTGTGTAGATCAAGGATCTTGTACTATTTCTTTTCAATGAAGGGGCCAAAAGTGCTAAATGTCCTTGACAATGACTGAGCTGTACTTTTCAGAGGCCAGTTTATCCACCCAGCATTAGGGTTTATCCCCCAGCCTAGGACCTTTGAGAATTTCAAAGGCCAACCAGAAGAAAAAATGAATTGACCAAAAGTAGAACAGAAAACCTGCAAAATAAAAGCCAAGAGTAATGATAAATGAAACTATTTGTTTTCAGTCAAAATGATGTTTGATATGAGCTGTGGTTGTCTTTTAATGCGTTTGATATGATGTGTGTGGAACTTTCAAAAGCTGAGCCTCTGACAGAACAGCCCTACTTGTCAGGGTGACGGCAGCGATGACCACAACAGGAAGCTGGCAATGAATTTAGTGGATGTACTTACAGTACACCATTTTTGGAAAATGAGATTTTATAAAACTAGTGACTAGATTCATTCAATGCAAATCAAGAAACTCCACACCCTCTTTAATGCCCCGAGTGAAAAATTATTTCTGTATGAGCATCAGTCATTTCTGAAGCTCCTCAAGGCATTAGTTTTTCACAGATCCTCCTGGGCTTTTCCATTCAAAATCCTCAAAATGTCTACCAGTATTTCTTTTGGAAGACTTTCTGGTTGGCTGTTTTTACGCTGGACTGGAACTCAAGGTTTTTAGATACTTACCTCTCAACCCCTCACATCCCAAAGATGAGTCCCCACCATGATGTTTAATTCTCACAATGACAAAGAAGCCAGATGACATCTGTTACCCTCACAGAGGATTCCTATTAAAATGGAATGGAGTAGACACTGCAGGTAAGCAGGAACACAGTAAAATTCTCTATCCATTCACTGTTCACAAGAGGCATTAGATTCCTAACTTAAAAGTAGAATGGTTTAAACATCTAGACATCTATCTGCACTCAGGTTTCCCTCATTCTACACTTTTCTTTCTTCAGTTTTTTCCTCTTTCCACTTTGAGTAAAAATTACTATGCAGGATTATGTATGCAAAATCATACCTACTCTATTATATGGTCAATTTAAGGACTTTTTCAATGGTAATTTTGCCTACTTTTGATTTATACCTTGTAAGTGGACCAGACCAAACCACATAAAATGCAACTCTATTGGACCAGACCAAACCACGTAAAATGCAACTCTATTGGATATGGCAAGCAAATATAGGAAGTAGAATTTTGCAAGGTCACATGTTGCTTAAACGACGGGGCTATGTTCTGACAAATGCACTGTTAGGTGATTTCATCATTGTGCGAACATCATAGAGTGTACTTATACAAACCTAGATGGCATAGCCTACTACGTATCCAGGTGATATGGTACTAATCTTAAGCAGCCACCATCATAAGTGTGGTCCGTTGATGACTGAAACATCGTTATGCGGTGCATGACTGTACATAGTTCTATCCATGTGCAAGACAAAGTGATATTTTGGCAAAACAAAGAACAGTAACAGAAGACACAAATTCTCCCCAGGGTACAAAATGATTATGAGAGTTTTTTTTTTTTAATAGCAGGACTCTGCATCAGGATCCAGAGTAGAGGAAAATTGCAGTCGTGGGTTTTTACCAGCAAATAGAAGAAGCACATATTTTGGCAGCAAGAAAAACATATGTAGTGTTGAAAGGCAACAAAAGTATGTCCGGACTTCCCATGGACGTGCTTGGGGACATGGTTGGAGGTCCAGTGCCTGACTCTGCTGCCCTGGGGGAGGCTCTGGGGCTCTGCACCTCCCCAGCAGGGAAAGTCTCTGCTCACCATTAGCAGGGAGGCCCCGCCCAGAATCCAGAACAAAGGGAACCCCCCGGGGGGGCAGATTCCCTGGCACTGCACCAGACCGCCAGCTGCTGCTGGGCCCACAGTCTCCAGCACACGGGTGGGTGCAGGGGGTGCCTGGACCTCCCGTGGACGTGCTTGGGGACTGGGTGGAGCTCCAATACCCGGCTCTGCAGCCCGGGGGGATGCTCCAGGGTCCTGCACCCCCCAGCAGGGAGGGCCTCTGCTCGCAATTGGCAGGGAGGTCCCGCCCAGCATTTGGAACACCAGGAAGCTCCCTAGAGCAGAATTCCCCACAAGGCAGCAGCTTACAAGCCACCACCAGGCCCACGGACTCTGGCCATGTCCCAGACGAGGCAAGGGGCTCCCAGAGATGCCGTGAGAGTGGAGTGGGGCAGAGTGGAGCTCCAGTGAAATGGCTACGTAGCCCAGGGGGGAACTCCAGGTTCCTACAGCAGCCTCAGGGCACAAATCCACGCCATCAAGCAGTATGAAAAAATATATTAAATCTCCAGAACAGAAGGAAAATGATAAGCACCCAGAAAACAATCCCAAAGACAATGAAATCTATAACCGAAATGACGATGATTTCAAAACGGCCGTTATTAAAAAACTCAACAAGTTAAAAGAGAATTCAGATAGACAACTCAATGAGTTCAGGAGCTACGTCACAAAAGAGCTTGACACTATAAAGAAGAACCAATGAGAAATACTGGAGATGAAGAACACAATGGAGGAGATTAAGAAAAATCTGGACTCACTGAACAGTAGGGTCGATAATATGGAGGACAGAATTAGCATTTTGGAGGATAGGAATATAGAAATGCTGCAGACAGAGGAGGAGAGAGAACTAAGACTAAAAAGAAATGAAGAAACTCTCCAAGAATTATCTGACTCAATTAGGAGATGCAACATAAGGATTATAGGTATACCAGAGGGAGAAGAGAAGGAGAAGGGGGCAGAAGGCCTGTTCAAAGAAATAATAGCTGAGAACTTTCCAAACTTGGGAAGAGAGATGGAACTTCATGTGACAGAAGCCAATAGATCTCCAAACTTTATTAACGCAAGAAGACCAACCCAAGGCATATAGTGGTGAAACTAGCAAAAGTCAATGACAAAGAGAAAATACTAAGGACAGTCAGGCAGAAGAAAATAACTTACAAAGGAAACCCCATAAGGCTATCAGCAGATTTCTCAGGAGAGACCTTACAGGCTAGAAGAGATTGGAATGAGATATTCAAAACTCGGAAGGACAAAAACCTGCAGCCAAGAATACTCTACCCAGCGAAAATATCCTTCAAATATGATGGAGAAATAAAAACTTTCCCGGATAAACAAAAGTTAAGGGATTTCATCGCCACAAAACCTCCTCTTCAAGAAATGCTCAGGAAGAACCTCATTCCTGAAAAATCAAAAAAAGGAAAGGGGTTACAAAATCCAGAACAAAGGAGATAAGCAGAAGGACAATAACACAAAGTAACAGCTCTCCATCAGGACAAAATGCAAAAGAACCAGAAAGCAAGTGATAAAATGGCAACAGTAGGCCCCCATGTTTCAATAATCACTCTAAACGTGAATGGATTGAACTCTCCAATCAAAAGGCACAGAGTGGCAGGATGGATCAAAGAACAAGATCCAACAATATGCTGCCTCCAGGAAACACACCTCAGCCCCAAAGACAAACACAGACTCAAAGTGAAGGGATGGAAGACAATACTCCAAGCTAATAATGAACAAAAGAAAGCAGGTGTTGCCATACTTATATCAGACAAAGTAGACTTCAAAGCAAAACAGATAAAGAAAGACAGAGGGGCAGTATATAATGATAAAAGGGACACTCCACCAAGATGACATAACACTTATAAATATATATGCACCTGACACAGGAGCACCAAAATTCGTAAAGAAACTATTAACAAAACTAAAAGGAGACATCAACAGCAATACAATAATAGTAGGGGACCTCAACACCCCATTAACACCAATGGACAGATCATCCAGACAGAAAATCAACAAGGAAATTATAGAAATAAATGAAAAATTAGATCAGATGGACCTAATAGATATATATAGGACACTTCATCCAAAAACAGCAGGTTACACATTCTTCTCAAGTGTGCATGGAACATTCTCAAGGATAGACCATATCCTGGGAAACAAAGAAAGCATCAACAAGTTCAAGAGGGTTGAAATAATATAGAGCATCTTTTCGGATCATAATGCTATGAAACTAGAAATCAACTGCAAAAATAAAGCTGGGAAAGGGGCAAAAATGTGGAGACTAAATAACATGCTACTGAACAAAAAATGGATTATTGAAGAAATTAAAGAACAAATCAAATATTATATGGAGACAAATGAAAATGAAAACCACCATACCAACTTATTTGAGCCACAGCAAAGGCAGTCCTAAGAGGGAAATTCATTGCAATACAGGCTCACCTCAATAAGCAAGAAAAATCTTGAATAAACAACCTCAAATGACACCTAACAAAATTAGAAAAATAAGAACAAACAAAGCCCAAAGTCAGTAGAAGGAGGGAAATAATAAAAATTAGAGCAGAAATAAACGATATTGAAACAAAAAAGACAGTATAAAGGATCAATGAAACGAACAGTTGGTTCTTCGAAAAAATTAACAAAATCGATAAGCCCTTAGCCAGACTCACTAAGAAAAAAAGAGAAAAGTCTCAAATAAATAAAATTAGAAATGAGAGAGGAGAAATCACAACAGATACTGAAGAAATACAAAAGATCATTTAAGAGAATACTATGAAAAACTATATGCCAAAATATTGAACAACCTAGAAGAAACGATAAATTCTTAGACTCATACAACCTCCCCAAACTGAATCAGGAAGAAATAGAGAATCTGAATAGACCAATCACA